GAGGCGTCGCCGCTGGAGGAGTCCCCCCCCCCTCGCCTGGCCCGCAGCCGACGCCGCGATTCGTGACGTGGCCCCCTCCCGACCTTTCGACCCCCTCCTACGAGCATGCCACGAGCAGCGAGAAGGGGTCGGATGCGGCGTGGGGCCCGCGGACTGAACAGACCAGGTGGCCTGCCAGCCACATCCCTGGCTGCTGCACGAAGAGGGAAGGAGAATCCAGCAAAAGAGCTCCGCGGCTGCGGGAAGGCAGGGCTGCGGCGCGGTGAGGCGGGCCGTGCCGTGCAACAGCCAGGAAGGTCGGAGCGAGGAGGTGCGCGGACTGCTCGGGAAGAGGACCGGACCTGGTTGCGGGGAGCCCGTGGGGTCGTCTCCTGGCTATTGAGGGCTCCTCTGGGGCCATCTTGGGCCCATTTGGGTTGCCTGGAGGGGGCTCTCGAGGATTCCAGAAGCATTTTGGGGCCCTCTGGGGGCGCGTCGGGCTCTCCGGGGGGCGCTCCAGACACAGCCGCCCCCGCAGGATTTTCCGTTCATGGGAAGCAGGTCGTCGGGAGAAGAGGACCGGACCTGGTTTCGGGGACAGGAATGACGCCGCGCTGCGGTGGACCGAGGCTGCAGCGCCGTGCCGCGCCGTGCGACAAGAGACCAAGGCAGAGGCGGCGCGCGAGCAGGTGGCGGAGAAGGGCACTCAGACACAGGGCCAGGGCGAGGTCAAAATCGGGGGAGTGTAGGTCGAGAACCTCTGAGATCTCGCGTGAAGAATCTAACGCTTCTAAGATGGATTCCGCAATGGGGGCCCCGCTGTCGCCAAGGAAATGTGAAAACACGTGCCGAATGCATACGAGACGCATGTTGGAGAGACCCCCTTCCGGACACGTATTCTCATGTGCCCGATTCCGACGCCACCTGCTCGATACCTTTCCGGTACGGCCAAAGGCCCGCATGCTAAAAGCGAACCCTGGGCCTAAGCTCTTACCGGGCTTACCAGGAAACATGAAAGCGGAACGAGAACGGACAGCACAAACTGATACTGGAATCATACTGGCACTTTAAGAAGGTAGCGGAACAAAAAAGCATGAGATCGGAATAACACTTGATGGCGGAATGAGAGCGGACAAATCATGATAGAGAAACAGCACATAATGTCACAATGGAAGCGGAGAAAAAAAACAGGACGGAACGAAAGCGGACAAAAACAACATGAGAGCGGAGCAAATGAAAGCGGAATGGAGAGCGGATTTGTTGCCACGGATTATGTTGCAAGAATGGGGAGGGACCGCTACATTTCTGCTACGGAATTCGTGGCAATGGAAAACATTGGAGCAGAATTTTCCTGGCGATGGGCGCAACTATACCTATACGACAACCCTTCGAACAATCCATACATTTGGAGGGAAGAACCAACTGTTGGCATGCGGTGGGTGTGATGATGACGATGCTGGTGACGCGCCCTCGAATTAGCGACGACGTGTGATCACGATGTTGCGCTGCGATGTAATGTCACTACCGTCCCCGCTTTCGATCTCGCTCGATCGATCACGCTATCGACCTCACACGATCGATCACACTCGATCGATCCCACTATCGATCTCACTATCGATTCCTCTATCTCATGATCGATCTCATGATATATTACTTTTGATCTCACGATACATCCGATCCTAGTGATCTCATTATCGATCTCACTATCGACTTCACTATCGATACCAAGGCGGACACCCCCGGCCACCGCCCGCCCACCGCAGACATAACACCGACGGGGACCCACCGGGACGCCACAGGACACCACGGCGGGACACCCCAGGCCACCGCGCGCCCACCAGGCGCGGAGGGGCGGTCCACTGCATCCGAATCACCCTAGCGACGGCGGGGTCATCCCTCTCGCGCGCCCACGCACCTTCGCCTCGCCTGCACGCTCGATGCGAACTCGAAACCGAAACCAATTTCCTCCTGGGGGGCTCTCCGTTCCACTGCGATCTCGCCCCCCAACCTCCGATGCACTTGTGAGTACCGCGTTGTGGGTACCGCTGTCGGTGGAGCTCCCTATGGGGCCACGAAGCGCGTGAGAGGTGCCCTGTAACGGGTGGTGGAGACGCATGCGGCCGCGGCCTCTAGGGCCTTCGGTGGAGCTCCCTCTGGGGCCACGAAACGTGTGATGGGGTGTGCCGAAATCGGTGGCGAGGACGCATGCGGCCGCAGCCACTTGGGACTTCGGCGGAGCTCTCTATAGGGCCACGTAGCGTTGTATAGGGCCAGGAGCCCGCACACTAAAAGAGAACTCTGGGCCGAAGCCCTTGCCGGGCATTCCCCTGCCGCCGGGAAAAGAGTACGAGAGGACGACGGCGCAGGAACCTCGATGACGACGACGACGACGACGCCCACGAGAAGGCCAGGAACCACCTACTTCTCCGAAATCCCCGCCGGCGGCGCTGTGTCGCCCTCCCCGCTGGCTTTGAGAGTGCCACCCCGCACTTGTGGGCACCTCGTGCTGGACAGAGGATTGCAAAACAACCCTTTTGCAATCCTGTTTTTTTTTTTTTGCAATCCTGTTTTTTTTTGCAATCCTGGTTTTTTTTTGTTGCAATCCCCCGCAGGTGCGTTCCGACGGGGACTTCGGACCGCGTCCAGCCGCGGCGGGCGTGGCGTTCGCATGCCCGCCGAGCTCGCGTGCGGAGCGGGCCACGGCGGGCGAGGCACGTGGCGGCGAGGGGCGAGTGGTGCATGACGAGCGAGCAACACACACCCATACCCATCGGGGGGTCGTTGAGAGGAGGGCTGGCTATGGGTATGGGTGCGGGTTGTCGGACCCGGGGGAACGCTCCCGTTCGAGCGGGGACCCCCATCCGACAACACGCACCCATAGCCCTCTCCGACCCCCCTATGGGTATGTGTGTGTGTTGTTGGTTCGTCAGTTCAGGGGAGAGCGATCGCTGGAGCTGAGGGGCAGCATCAAGGGTAGGGAGAGGGAGGATACGGGTAGGATGAGGGGAAGCCCACCCCTCCCAAGCGCAAACAACGCAATCGCGACCGTCCAGGCCCGACGAACCACCGAACGACTTCGAGCGAGCAAAGCCCAGAGCTCATGAAATTTAGCAGGAGGAGGGGGATGCAGGAGGGGGAGGAAAAGGAAGGAGGAGGAGGAGGAGGAGGAGGAGGAGGAGGAGGAGGAGGAGGAGGAGGAGGAGGAGGAGGAGGAGGAGGAGGAGGAAAGGAAGGAGGAGGAGGAGGAGGAGGAGGAGGAGGAGGAGGAGGAGGGGGGGAGGAGCCCAAAGGGTCCCCCCAACTCTGGCCTGCGCGCCCGGACCTGGCCTCCCCCCCTTTGCCCCCTAACGCCGCGCCCCCCCAAATCCCCGACGCCATGACTTTGTCATGACGTCGACCCCTAAAGGTCGGGAGCGGCCAAGAGGGGGGTGTCCAAGAGGGGGGGGTGCAAATCATGACCGGCGGCATGTGCGCGGCCCAGTGGGGGGGCCAGGGACGTAATGAAATAAGAAGAGGCGCCATGAAATCTGAGGAAAAATCATGGCCCGCGCCATGAAATCCCCCCCCCCCCCTAGTCATCACCCCACCCTTTTCCGCTCCCGAAAAGGTCTGGACCCATGTCCTGGGACCGGTTCTTCATCCCGGGCTGTTTTTCGACGGTCCCAGGGCTTGGTGACAGTTTGTTCGGCTTCGCTGGCGGCGGCGAGGCAGAGGCGATCCGCACCAGCGTGGGGCTACTCGGGGAATCGGGGGCACCGATCGGCAAATTGTCTGGCGTGCAAGAGAGAGAGAGAGAGAAAGAGAGAGAGAGAAGGAGGGAGGGAGGGATAGAGAGAGAGAGAGAGAGAAGACGAGGATGGCCGCGCGGGGGGAGAAGCAAGTAGGCGCTCAGACGTGGAATGCTTGGTGAGGCACCCAGGGGCCGAAAACGGCCAGAACCCTTCTGCCGTGACCCTCCCACGACGCGACGAAGCTCAGTGGTCGACCCCCTCCCCCGGGCCTCCGCCGGGGTGCGCCCTGGCCAAGATCTCGATGGGAGCCCAGCCGTGGCCCCGGCTGATCCGGAGGAGGAGGAGGAGGAAGAGGAGGAGGAGGAGGAGGAGGAGGAGGAGGAGGAGGAGGAGGAGGAGGAGGAGGAGGAGGAGAGGGAGGAGGAGGAGGAGGAGGAGGAGGAGGAGGAGGAGGAGGAGGAGGAGGAGGAGGAGAGGAGGAGGAGGAGGAGGAGGAGGAGGAGGAGGAGGAGGAGGAGGAGGAGGAGGAGGAGGAGGAGGAGGAGGAGGAGGAGGAGAGGGGAGGAGGAGGAGGAGGAGGAGGAGGAGGAGGAGGAGGAGGAGGAGGAAGGAGGAGGAGGAGGAGGAGGAGGAGGAGGAGGAGGAGGAGGAGGAGGAGGAGGAGGAGGAGGGGAGGACGAGGGTACGGGGAGGGTGAGGAGGAGGAGGAGGAGGAGGAAAAGGAGAGGAGGGGAGGAGGAGAGGAGGAGTAGGAGGAGGAGAAGGAGGAGGGAGAGACCGGAAGAACTCCCCTGCCATTCCCCCTCTCTCGGCGGCGAGCGAGGGGGGGAAGTGAGAAGGGGCGGGCCTTCTCAGAAGGCTCGGAAGTCCCAGACCTTCTGACACGTTTTCTAAGCCTTCCACGAAAACGCAGGAAACTTGTCAGGATGCGCGAGGGCCCCTGAGAAGTCCAACCGCCTTCTGAGAAGGCCTCCTTCTTCTCACTTCCCCCCCCCCGCTCGCCACCGAGTCCAATTTTCGGGTCATAACTCGGGCCTCTGGCGGCCGTTCGGGACGATCCGGGCATCCCCAGAGCGCTCTCGGCGAGGCGCAGCCGCTGGAACGCATCCCGAGGGCGGCAAGCCGCCAAGAAACCACGAAAACGCCCGAGACCCTAGAACCTCGAAGTTCGGACCTCGAGGTGCTACGAGAACGCACGAGAACCTAGAGCCTCGAAGTTCCAACCTCGAAGCTCCCCCCCTCGCTCGCCACCGACCTTCGCCCCCCCCCCCCCCCCCCCCCCGGCGCTGCCTGCATGGCGACGGTCCGAGGTCGCCGGTCTCCGCTCAGCTGAAAGTGGTCGGCCACGCGGCAGCCAGCGAAGGTCCAGCCTGGTCGTCGTCGTCGTCGTCGTCGTCGTCGTCGTCGCCTTTGTCGTTGTCTTTGTCGGCGTCTTTTTCGTCGTCTCTTTCCTCGTCCTTTTCGTCGCCCTTGTCGCCGTCTCTGGGGTTTTCTGACATTTCTGGAGTTTCTCGTCGCCACGGCTGGACGCGGCCCAGGAAACTGGCCAGCACGGACCCCGAGAGGGGTCGGGGGGCCAGTTCTCAGCGGATTTCAGCCAGAGGTGGGGCGAGGGGGGGCCCGTCCAAGAAGGCAGGCCAGCTTCACTTGGCATGCGCCATCTTCTTGCGCCCAGCACAGCTCCATTTGGCACCCGCTCGTTGCAGCTGGCACTGCGAGTCCGACAAGGGGACGTTCTGCTGAGACAGATGGGGCACTCTACGCACATGCTCTCGCTCTGCTTTGGCAGGGCCGGCATCCAACGAGAGCGCAAAGGCGGCAGCATCCCGCACCAGACCCACCACCCACGCCCACACAGCCGCTGGAAGGGATGGCTGGGGGTATGAAAGGGGGGGGGGAGGAGGAGGGGCAAAACCAGGAAGGCAGGGAGAGGAAAAAGGAGACGAGGAGACGAAGGGAGAAAAAGAGGGGATGACGAGGGCGTGCACCAGGATGCATGGGGATTCAATCGGAGGAGGACGAGGAGGAGGAGGACGATGAGGAAGAGGGAGGAACGAGGAGGACGAGGACGAGGAGGGGGAGGAGGAGGAGGAAGAGGGAGGAACGAGGAGGAGGAAGACGAGGAGGGGGAGGAGGAGGAGGAGGAGGAGGAGGAGGAGGAGGAGGAGGAGGAGGAGGAGGAGGAGGAGGAACAGGAGGAGGACGAGGAGGAGAAGGAGGAGGAGGAGAATAATAATAAGCAGAATAAGAAGAAGACAAATAATACTAATAATAATAATGATAATAATAATAATAATAATATTAATCATAATAACAATAAGAATAATCATAATAAGGATGAGAATAATAATAATAATAATAAGAAGAAAAAATAATATCAATAATGATAATAAAAAAAAGAAAATAATAATAAGAAGAAGAAGAACAACAATAAGAATAAGAATAATAAGAATAATAATAATCATAATACTAATAAGAAGAATAATAATAAGAAGAATAATAATAATCATAATAAGAATAATAACAAGAAGAAGAATAATAATAATAATAATAATAAGACGACTAATAATAAGAAAAAAGGAATAATAATAATGATGAGGTGGAGGTGAAGGAGGCGGAGCAGGAGGAGGAGGGGGAGAAGGTAAAGGAGGAGGAGGACGAGGAGGAAGAGGAGGAGGAGGAGGGGAAGGAGGATGAGGAGGAGTAGGAGGGGGAGCAGCAGGAGGATGAGGAGGAGGGGGGAGGGAGGAGGAGGACGATGAGGAAGAGGGAAGGAGGGAGGGGGTAGGGAGGATGGGGAAGGAGGGAGGGAGGGATGGGGGTGGAGAGGAGGAGGAGGAGGAGGAGGAGGAGGAGGAGGAGGAGGAGGAGGAGGAGGAGGAGGAGGAGGAGGAGGAGGTGGAGGAGGAGAAGGAGGAGGAGGAGGACTAGGAGGAGGTAGGTAGGTAGCACTCCGTTGAAACCAAAGTCCGATGGTCTGAGGAGCAGATTGGGGTTCACCCCCTCATTCACAAGCCTCGGCACCCCTCAGACAGGGGGGCGCCAGCGCCAGTGCCGCTAGGCAGCTGACGGCGCACGGCCGTATTCACGAGACACTCCCAGCGAACGGATAGGCGATCGCCTCACGCATGATACAAAACTCCTATCCTGAACACTGACTGAATGGCAAGAGTCAGACAACAAAAAAAAAACGCGAAGTGTGGCACAGGGCACAGCTCACGGCGGCAGGCAGGCATATACAGCTCGACACGATCACTTCTCCAGCAACCTCTGGCCCTCGACCTCCAAGAATCCAGCAGGCCTGGGACCAGCGAGTACAGGAACATTCAAGTGAGAGTGAAGAAGATCGACCACCACCACCTCCAGCTCCTTGTCGGCCAGCGCCATGATAAGCCTCCTGCTTTCTGGGTCATGCATTTTCTCCGTCCTGAAGAGCTTCACAGTCAATTGGGCAGCCAAGGAACCAGGAGCATTCATATCGAGGTACTTGTGGATCACGGCCTGCTGCTCTGTGGTCCTTTTGGACGCCAAGAGCAAAGAGGCCGCAGCGAATTGAAAACTGTCTGGGGCACCAAGGCTGTGGCGCATGTGTCCCTTCACCCTCGGCAGGTACTCCTGGTCGTGCGTTTTTTTTTTTTTTTTTTTTTTTTTTTTTTTTTTTTTTTTTTTTTTTTTTTTTTTTTTTTTTTTTTTTTTTTTTTTTTTTTTATATATATATATATATATATATATAAAAAAAAAAACAAAAAAATGGAGGTGTGCATCGCATCGTCTGCTGCTGATGATGTGGGGGAGGAGGAGGAGGAAGAGGAGGTGGAGGAGGAGCAGGAGGAACAGGAGGAGGAGGATGAGGAGGGGGAGGAGGAGAAGGAGAGGCGAGGAGATGAGACGACTCCGAGGAGGACCAACCCAAAACAAAACTGAGGGGATGGGGTGCGCCATCGAGGGGGATTTTCGCGACAAGCGCACCCTCTCCCACTAACAAGAACATGCGCGAGCTCCGTCCCACAGGAGCGCGCCGCCGACCCGGCATAGGCCAGGGCGTGCGGCATCCCAAACCGAGGGGCTGGCATCCCCCAAAATAACTAGCTGACTCCGCCCCCCACAAGTCAGACATAGCAAGGGCCCGCGCCTAGCCTCCTCACTCTCGGTGCGGCGCTGCACGGCGCGCAACGGAGCAATACGAGAATCCCAAAACGACGGGGTCCCCAGACAGCCATTCATAATAGGCAGATTACGGCTTGACGGCTTAACCTTAAAGCAGAAAACATAGAGCTTGTTTTTCGCCGCAGCGCGGCTGGTCGACGCCAGCGCTGACGGCTGTCCTCGTAGAAGCACGGAAGTAGAGCTCCTGCGAGAGCAACACAATGGGCAGCCAGACTCCTCGCGAGCGCGAGCGTGGCCAAAAACTCTGGCAAGAGAGGGGTGGAGGCTGGCAGCTAACTTAGCAGGATGGTAAGCGCCCCTGTTTGCCTCGGCCCAGTGGCGCTCCACAAGCTCGAGAGTCTTGATCTGCTCAGCCGTGCGGGGTGTCTTCACATGGCGAGCAGAGATGAGTTGGTGGCCCTCGAGGCCGCGACCAACCTTGTGGATGCCCCAGCAGCCTAGTTGGAAACGCGCGATTGGTTTGAAACCGGAGCCTGGGACCGACGTATCGCCGATATACAGTCGCTGCCAGCCAATGTCTCGCGGCCGGCGATCTGGTAAATCAAACAGAGAGCGACACTTTCGGCGATGCTCGGCGTCTAAGGGAGGTATCCAGCTACTGGCCCTCGAAGAACTGCGCGGACACGTCAGAGGCAGGAGAGAAAACAACTATGGACCAGGACGCGCGCTCCTTCTCTACTAAACTAAGCCGCGCGCAAGATCCACCGGGCGCAACAGAGGCGTAGAGGCCCTGCGCAGGAGACGCAACGCCTGCCACTTTCACGTCCAAAGCCTCCCCGTCGGGGCCTTCAAGGACCACCAGGTCTGTGCGAGACGGGCAAAGCACCTCCTTCTCATCAAAAAATACTCCTTGAAAGAAGATGGGATCATCTGACTCGAGTTTAACCTGCAATAACATTGCGCTGACCTCAGTTTCGGCGCGTGACGCGACTGCCTCTGGTAGCGTGCACTCGTGCAGACAATGCTTGAGGGTTTGCCTCTGGCCACAGGCGCAGAAACCGTCGCAGAGACATGGGCGCGGGCCCAGGTCCACACCCCGCGGCAAGAGCAGCTCCTTATCGAAAACTTCGCGAGGCCAGTGAACCGACGAGAACGATCGCGGAGCACCGATCGAACGAAGTCGAGCGAGGCCCTGCGTCCTTGCGGAGCTCCCCGCTGCATGGCCGTCGGGATTTCATGCTGCCTTTGAACTCCAGCTAGCATCGGAACAGACATCATGCTTGCATGGGGTGCGACGAATGTCTGTAGTCGAGCCCCTGTGGCCCACCCAGCTAGTCGCAGAAAGCGCTCGCCAACCGGCGCGACGCGCATCGAGGACGGCGCGAGACAGGGCGCCGCGACTGGAAGGCCAGTCCACGACCTCGCAAGCCTTGGCGTTTCGCCACAGCCGCAACAGACGAGCGCGCATGGCAAGGAGGTGGTCACAGACCTCAGATTGCCAGAGCATCCTGCACCATTGGGTCGTGGGCGCGATCGCCGACGCTCCCGCTCCATTGCCGAGCAGCACCGTCTTGCTGGCGAGGCTCGCGTCACCGTGCGCAGGAAGCTGCCCTCGAGCCACGTCGCGACGGCACTGGAGCTACTCCGCGTTGCAGAGCCCGACGGCCTCGCTTGCGTCGGTGGCCTCGGCCATGGCGCTAGCGCGAATGACGGCGCCGATGGGCTTCGCCTTGTGGCCTGTGATGACCTAGCCGAAACGCTTGAGCTTTCGCGTGCGCTGGACCATGTGCTGACGACGTTTGCGCGCTTGATGAGCGCCCCGTTATCCTTGCGGCGGCTGCCCTCGCTGACGCCCGCTCCGACGTAGACGGCGCCGCGACGAGCGGCGGAAGTTGGAATGCCAAGAGTGCCTGCAAAACTCTGTGCGAGAGGAAAACTTGCGCCCGCAATCGCAAGCTTGTCGTTGGCAACCACATCGAGCTCGGCCACTGCAATCCTGAAATCAACCATGGCAGACACCATCACAGAGGACGTGGTACTTGCAGTGGTAGACGACACCCTGATTGGATTGTCGTCGATGTTGCTGGCGAACTGGGCGCGCGGCTGCCCGACCAGGGAACAGTCGTCCTCACGCGCAGACCAGGCTTTGACAGCAATGTCACAGTACACGTCGCCAGCAGGTTGGCCGCAAACTGCGCGCAGGGCCTCGTGGGCATGGTGGCCGCTGAGACGCAAAACACGGGGGGCGCGACGCATACTGCGCGCCAACTTTAGAAATGACGTCGGCGCCTGGACACTGATGAACCCGCAACCTGGCCGAAGGGATCCGCTCGTAGTACTTGCGGAAGTCGGCCGCAGCCAACGCGCCGTGGTAAGACTGCCGCTGGTCGGCCTCGCCCTCAGCTGCCTGGGGCCGCGCGCGGTCGACGGGGGACCGCCCCCGCGTAGCGCCCCAGTAAGGGCGGTCGATCTGCAGCCGCAGCTCGCGAAACACAGGCCGACGCAGGCGCTGCCAGACACGTTGGAGGCCCGCGTAAAGCACCTCTGACCGATTGCCAGTGTCGGACGTCTTGGGCAGCATGGGAGTCACGTGCCAGCGCAGCTGCCTCGGGGAAGGCCGATGGGTTCCATCGCAGAGAAAAAGGGGGCGGCCACCTCGAGCGCCTGATCATCCCAAAGCTGAGAATGACGAGGATGAAAGTTATCAGGCACAGCAGCGGTCGCGGGCGAGAACATCTGCGCCGCGGCGCGGATGTCCTTCGCCGTCGCCCTTTCCAAAGGTGAGCGGCCAGGGATCTGCGCTGGCGCAGGCCGCGAACTTGCCCGCAACTTCTCGCGGCCCCCTTGTGCGGTGCAGGGCTCGCGGCCCCCTTGGCGCCGCCGTCGGGCGCCGTTCCCTCCGCTTCTGGTGGCCCTCCGTGGGCGCGCCGTTGCGTGCCGGCTTGGCGGCGGGCTCGATGCCGCCCAAGAACTCGCGGCGGGCCTCCTCGTCGAAGCCGCCCTGTTCGAGAGCCCGCGCCTGCTGGGCCGAGCGTTCGAGGCGCGCCGACAGGCCGCGCCCGTGGGGGGCCGCCGTGGAGATCGTGAGGGCCTCCTCTGCGCGCTGCGCCAGCTCCTGCGCCGATGGGTTCGGGGCCCGCTTGAGTGCCGCGAGATGGAGGAGGGAATGCTGCCCCCGCTGCCAGCCCTCAGACACTGCCTGCAAGTCAGACTGATCTGTGATCGTGTAGCTGATATCAATCCATCTGGGCCGAAGGGGCCGTGCAAAAACTTGAGCGGTGCAATCTTGGTGGCCGGCCGCGGCCGCAATCGACTCCGCAGCTAGCGCAGCAGATTGGCCCCAGGCGGCAGACAGGAGGCCCCATCCAACGCTGGGGGGCACCCGCTCGTCGGCGCAGGCCGCCGCCGCAGCCTCGGCCGCGCGGCGCGCGCCGCGCCGGGGCGGCGGAGGCGGCGAAGGGCCAGCCGTGACCTGCGCGCCCATCCTCGGCGCGACGGTGTACACCGGCTTCTTGACGTGCTCGGCGCCGCCCTTCAGCGGGATGCGAACTGGGCGATGGCCTCGCTTGGACCGCTTGGCGTCGATGCTGATGCTGGCGTGCGTCCTCATGGCAGCCGAGTTGAGGAGGAAATAATCCATGGCCGAGTTGCCCGTGTCTCCTATGAACGTATTCGCAGATGTGTTCACAGTCGAACACCCAACATGAGCAGGAAACTGGCTTGCCTCTGGAGGCATGGCCCAGTCGCCGCCGACGATGGCTGGGCCGTCCAGCGCTGCGGCAGCCGAGCCCAGCTCCTGCGGCAGACTGTCATTGTGCAAAACTGCTCCTCCGCCAGTGACAAGGTAGACATTGAACAAGTGGAGGCCCGACCGCAGGCCTCGTGGATCAATGGCAACGCGCTGAACCCTGCTCGGGGTTAGCTCGCGCTCACCATGGGCAGGGGGCCTTGCGCTCAGGCTGTCGCGCACGGCGACCGCGGCGCCTGCAGGCGGCACCGTGCCCGCCGCGGGCGTGCTCGGGAGCGCCATCAGGCGCCGGCCTCGGCCGGCGCACCAGGGGCCCATGGCCTCGACGTGGTCGCTGATGTGCCCGAACTCCTGAAACAAGACCACGCTGGCCGCGGTGCTGGTGAGCCGCTTGTTTACAGACGCCTTGCCACCGCTGGCGCTGTGCGCTTCGATGCTGAACTCAGCGCCCCGTGGCGGCCGCGCCCCGAACGGCGGCGCGCGACCGCGGCCGGGCCGCCCGCGAACATCAGGCCAGGCGCGGCGCTGGCCGACAGCAGCGCCAGGGCTACACCTGATGCCGTGCACGCTTGGCCGCGACCTCGGACCGCGTGGCGTCGAAGGCCTGCGTGAAGGCGTCGATGCCGCCGGGCTCGCGGGCATGGACGGGGTGCTTCTTCTGCTCATCGAAGGGGGCCGCCATGGGCATGTCGGCGGGGTCCTCGGCAGCAGCGACCCAATCAGCCCCATCACTGCTACTGGCAGCGCCAGCCCGAGCAGCGTACTTGGCCGATAAAGCGGACTTGTGCTTGGCCCACGCCTCGGAATTGATGAACGCGACAAACTCGGGCTGGTCGGCCACGTCGGCCTCCTCGAGGTTGAAACCGTCAGCGGCGGCGGCGGTGGCGCCCGTGACGCTTCTGGCAGACTCTGTGGAGGCCGTGTCCAACGCGGCGATATCCAGCTTCTTCGCCTCGATCGCCTCCTTGCGGTGCTCGGTACCTTCCGATAACTCAACGAACTGGGACTGCTTCTCCAGCAGCTCCTTCTCCATCTTCTCCAGGCTGGACAACGCGCGCTGCACGTCCTGCTGCGCGCGACGATGCAGAGCACGGGTGAGAACAGCGCGCGCTTCTCCGCACGCAGGTCCTCCAACTGCTTCTCGATGGGACCTCTGAGGTCCCTGTTGCGTTCGTCAGCTGAAAGGGGAACTTCTCGAAGGTCTCCTCAAGCTCCCCGATGCACTCGCCGGTCTTGGTGCTCGGCGACTTCTTGATTTCGCTCCCGCCTGCACCTGCACGAGCGCCTGCGCCTGCATGCCACGACGGCGGCCCGCGAGGGTTGGGCCACTCGGCGTCGGGCGGCGCCAGGCGCTGCTCGATGGCCTGCATCCGGGCAGCGAGCTCCTTCGGGATGCCAGGGGCCGCGCCGCCAGCTGGCCTCCTGGGAACTCCACGGCGCCCGCCGCTTCCGTCGCCGCCTTCAGCCTCCTTGTGCTGCCGGCGTGCACGGGAGACGATCGCAGCTGGAGCCTGGCAGCCACGGAGACACTGGATGCGGTACGCCCAGTTCTCCGCGCGGCCGCGCTGGCCACAGCTCCAATGCGGCTTGCGCGAACTGCGGAACACGGTGGCCGCAGTCGGCTACGGCGCCATGCCTCGACTGGGCAAACTGCGCCGACGTGGGGCGGACCACCACAGCGCTCACCCTGGGGCGGGCCAAGGGAAAGGATGAAAACGTTCCGCGGACTAGGGGTATCCACGTGTTCCCCTGTGGAACACAGCATCTTGAGCCAAAGTGGATACGGGAAGGAGGATAAGGAGGAGGAGGAGGAGGAAGAGGAGGAGGAGGAGGAGGAGGAGGACGGGGAGGAGGAGGAGGAGGAGGAGGAGGAGGAGGAGGAGGAGGAAGAGGAGGAGGAACAGGAGGAGGAGGAGGGGGAGGAGGAGGAGGAGGAGGAGGAGGAGGAGGAGGAGGAGGAGGAGGAGGAGCGCCAGTACCCCACGAGTCCACGGGTCTCAGGGCGCTCAACGCCTCGTGGGCTTCAGCAAGGGGTAAGGCCTAGCCGATCCAGGCGGCGGCGGAAGAATCGAGTAATTGTTGGGCATCTTTGCTAGCGCTGCTTGGAGAGCATCTAGCTGTTGGAGCAGAGTTAAAGGGCGCCCGTCTTGATGAGAGGCCATATCTTTGGCCACGTGGTGTGTATATATATATATATATATATGTATATATATATATATACATACATACACATATATATATATAGAAGCTGAAGGCAAATAGCTAACATGGCATTTTCCCGGGTGAGGTCACACGCGGGATATTGCACAGGAAGGCCAAGCCCGAGGCGGAGGAGTGGGCGCGACGAGACGACAGCTCGAGGACGACAAACGAGATGGGTGAGGCGGGGGCACGTCAAATAGTATGCAATGCGATCGGGTTGAGGGCACCCGAAAATGCAGCTCCACTTGATGTCCGTGACGTGCAAGCGGTGAGTGGTCGTCCACCCCCCCGCAATCGTTTTGAGGTACGGCCATCGCGCCATGGGTGGAGCCCGGCTCAAAATGTCCCGCACCAAATCCCACCGCTCCCTGAGCCGGACAAGAAAACCATGCGCGCAATCGCCGACCAATTAGCAACTGCAGCTGGTCAGGATAAGCGTCGCCGGCCAGGGGGCGCTGATGCACTCCCTGCATCCGCGGTCGACGATTTAAGTGCGGATGCAGCGCGCAGGGCACCGCGCGCCCGCTGTTGGGCAACACGGAGGTGCGTTGAGGTAAGGGGAGGATTCGATGCTGGCGCGGCGGACGCAAGCTCGTGATAACATTGCACAATGGCCTGCTTGCGGGCCCAGCACGGTGCACACCACGTGCCACTGCTGAGAGCGGGAAGGCTCAGAGACTCCTGAGCGGCGACCTCCAATCGCCGATACAGCGGCCCCCAAATCGTGTCCAGCGTAACGGACGCGCACCTCCATGCGCACGCCATGGCATTCGTGAGTAGGGAGGTGGGGGTAGGGGAAGGAGACCAATTGGCCAAAGAGAGGAACTCGGAGCGAGAGAACGAGTTCGGAGGGAGGTGGAGGGCCTTGTGGAGACCCCAAAGCTCACGATCGTTCAAAGCCTTATCGACCGGAAAGAACTGTGCCACATATGACGTGAAAGTAAGCACCGCAGAATTGTACAATCGTGATGCTAGGTTGGCTGACGACTGCAGCTCACCAAGCTCCGTGCACCTAGCACCCCACTTCATTGCGGGAACCTGCCACTCATCAGCAAGAGTGGCCTCGGGGCCCTGCCACGTCCCGAGATATTTGGCCTTCCCACAAATTTGAAAAGTGGCCCATCCGGGAGCCCACCCTCGCAGCTCCGCCCGAAGCTGTTCGGCGAGGTCGGGGGTGGGAGTAGTCCAGAGGGGGACGAGAACGCATTTTATCGGCTGCAAGCGAAGGGAAGCGACTCGTCGCAACTGTGAAAAATGTGGTTCCAATTCTCGCACGCGCGCAAGCTGGCGGAGGACCATGCCAATATCATCCGCACAGGCCCCGAGCGTTCCCGAGTCCTCCGTAGCGTGAGGGGCCGGCTGCGGCGGGGCGGACATTCGGGCAACTGTTCGCCCTGCACGCTGGCCTGGGCGAGAGGAGGGAAAGGGGGCAGCAGGGGGGGGGGCGAGGACAGAGCGCGAGACAGGAGGCGAAGAAACGGATCAAGCCCAAGAGCCCAGAGAGTGCCGCTCAAGGGGCAACCTTGCGCGACCCCCGACAAGATGGGAAGCGCGACTTCTCGTCGACCGCCGATCCGGACAAAACCTATCATGTGCGAATATAGGCCACTGACGGCCAGGCGATAGCCGAGAGGGAGGTTGAAACGCTCGAGGACCTTTCCTAAGTATTTCCTACTGAAGCTCGGGAAAGCCGAAGCAAAATCAAAGCTGAGGAAAACTGGGTGCTGCGTAGGCGCGGAAGGGTCGAGCGAGGCGGCGCGCGCCTCACAGTCCATCTGCACGATGTGTTTCGCGAAGTTCCGGCCGGCCACGAACCCCTGTTGCGAGGTATGGGTGTGCTTTCCGGCGACAACTTTCAGATTCCAGTTGATAGCTGCTGCGATGGCCTTTGCGTCCTGGTTCTTAAGGCTCAGGGGGCAGGTTTGGCCGGGCTGGCGGACGCAGTCGATGAGGTCGTTGCGCCCGGCTTCGGCGGAGCCCTTCGGCAAGAAAGCGAAGTCGCTGAAGTTCAGGCCCGGCGCAACCATGCTGCCGTCGAAGAGCTTCAACAGCATGGGGTAGACGGCCTCCATCGCGCGTGGGCACGCTAGCCATGCATCCACTGGCAAGCCGTCGGGCCCAGGAGCCGCGCGGCGTGCGCGCTTGAAGGCGGCAGTCAGTTGCGCCTGCGACGGGATAGGCAGGTCCATGTATGGAAGAACGGGCAGGGACGCATCCAAGAAACGGTCGATGTCGGCGTCGCAGGTGTCCTCGCCGAAGAAGACGGCGGACCAGTGCTTGACCAATGCGTCGGCTATCTCGCCAGGCTGCCTGGCGACGTACCCGGCTAAGCCAGCGCCCTGAACGTGCAGTCCGTGAAGCACGAGCCGCTTCCGGAACGGTGCCCAGAGCGCGGCACGGCGGCGCGCGGCAGCCTCGCGGCGCTGGAGCTGTTCCTGGGTCTAGGGCTGGATGTTGTTCCGCACGCGCCACGCTGCAGCGCGGACCTGCTTCTCGTGCCACCTCGCATTTGTGGACACGATGGCCTCCTCAAACGCGGCAGGGTCGGCGAGGGAGACGCTGTCGGAGTCGAAGCTGAGGAACTGTGCCCCCAGCGAGGTGTTGGCAGATAGGCGGCGCGCCAGCCAGACGTCTTGACGCCATATGGCGCGGGCGATGCTGCGGAGCGTCTGCCGGCGCGCCTCGAGTGCAGCAGGCTCGCCGCGCTCGGTGCCCTCAGGGATCCTGGAAAGAGTGTCCCGCGTGATCATGGCGGCCTCCTTCATCATCCTCTTGGTCTCCTTGAGGCGCAGCTCGGGAGGCAGGATGACCGCGTCCAACGCGGTCAGCAGAGTGTCCAGAGTCTTCGCGTACAGCGGCGCCTTGAATATGTACGGCGGGATGCTCTGCTCGTCAGGGGGGACGTGCTGTTTGGGCCGGAGGCGAAGAACAACAGCGGCATGGTCACTGAGATTCCACTCTGCGTAGCTGGCCGCCTCGCGATGAACCTCAAAGTCGCACACGAGCTGTTCCAAAAACTGCGGCGGCAGCGACACGAATGCACGATCTATGCAAGTGGCCGTGTCCGTCGTCTTGTCGTATCTCGTAGGGAGCTCGCTGGTGACCTCGACCATCTGGTCATCGAACATGTCCTTCCACTGTCGCGGATGCTGCCGGTAGCGCACGGCTGGCCGGCGGGCCTGCCCAGGTGCAGGATGGATGTAGGAGGCCGTCTGCGACGCGTTCAAATTGAAGTCGCCGATCGCGATGAACGTCCGTTTCTCCACGTCCTCGGCGGCCCAACATGAAGAGGAGGAGGAGGAGGAGGAGGAGGAGGAGGAGGAGGAGGAGGAGGAAGAGGAGGACGAGGAGGAAGACGAGGAGGAGGAGGAGGAGGAGGAGGAGGAGGAGGAGGAGGAGGTGGAGGAGGATACCCGCGGAAATCTACCGGAGATCGCCTGCACGATCCCCGCCTCCCATCTGGACTGCTCGAGGTGGGGTGCTCCAGTGCGCGCTCGCGCCGCCCGCACCGCCCCCCCCCCCCCCCCCCAGCACCTGCCTCGCTCGCGCCTGCGGGGGAACGCCTTCTCGCCTCTGCCCCCGCACGGCTCCTGTCCAAGGGCTCCGCGATCGGCGGGAAAGGCCCGCGCCGCCTCGCTGCGCGGCCGGGCGCATGCGCGCGCGCGCCAGGCTTTCGCGCAGTGGTGACGCAGCCGCGTCGCCTCAACGAGGGGTTCCCTTGACGGTTGGTGGCGTCTCGGGGCACCGTCGGGGCGCGGGGGAACCGGGATCGAATCAGCGCGGCGCGTCGCGCGCGGAAGCGCAACCGCGTCGCATCGGCGGGGGGCTCGCCCCGCGTTTGGTGGCGCCGGGGGACACCGCCAAGGCTGCGAAGCGCGTGTGTACACGTGCGTGGTAGCCTCCAATAAGGCCCCAGGGGAAGTGTGAAGGTGTTCTTGCGCATGGAGACGCCCCCGCAGCAAACCCCTGGGGCCGCCGCAAGCGCGTCCGCGCGGGCCCGGGCAAACTCAAGCAAACACCGGGGGGCTGCCGCGCGAGACCCACCAGAGAAGCAGCCGCGAGCGAACTTCAGGAGTTGCCGTGGGCGTTGCCTCACGTGGGGGGCAAAGTCCAGCAAAGCCCAGGGGCCGCCTCACCATGTGCCTACACGTGCAGCCCACCCTCACATCACATCCCAAGATCGACCGAAGAGCGCCGTGGCCGATCCGGGAAACACAGCAAGCAAACAAAAAAACACATTGGCATGTCTCGGGGGCGCATCTTCCGTGTCCGCCGACGGAACCGCCCCCGTTATACTTCCGCAGCCTTCCGCCAACCTTCCGCCGAGGAAGAGGTGGCAACTCCTTCGATCCTGAAAAGCCACGGGTCTTCCTGGAGCGCCTCGTCTGGCCACCAAGCTGCAGGGCCGCCGCAAGCTGAAGGATCCTCCCGGGCAGGGCGCCTGGGAGGGTGGCCCAGTGTCACCTTAGCGCTGTGGCCCCCCTAGCCAGATAGAGGAAGGATACGACTGCGCAAACATAAACTTTCGGCGGTCCGCGCGGATTTCTTAGACCTGCGCTGGAGCCCCCTCCTTGCCGCGGGGAGGCGCCGCCACGGGGTCCAGGCGAAGATCCAAGAAACAGGCGAAGATCCAAGAAATCCGCGCGGAGCGCCACAAGTTCATGCGTATGGCGGCTTCTTCTTTGACTAGAGGCCCGCCAGGGCCGTTCGGAGGCACAGGGGGAGGAACTGCAGAAGCTGCGCTGCGCACAGACGCGAAGGAGGTCGCAGCACGCCTCCGTGGCGTCGCTTGGTGGCGGGCGAGCTTCGACTCGGCCGCCCCGAAGATCGTCGAGGAGGAGGAGGAGGGGGAGGAGGAGGAGGAGGAGGAGGAGGGGGAGGAGGAGCCCTGAAGATCGTCTGGCGTCCCGCCGAACGCTCCAACCGGATGTCGCTCGCGCCTCACGTTCGTGGCGTGCGGCCCTCGCTCCGTAGCCGCAGGAGGTGGAGGACGAGCCGTCTCCCAGTCTGGGCTGCATGCCAGACACAGCAGTCCCAGGGTGGCTCTGCATCGGTGGGTCCAGCTGGTGCGAAGTCTGTGCGCAAAAGGGAGAGGATGAGGATGGGGACGAGGATGAGGATGCGGATGCTGACGATGATGACGATGATGATGCTGCTGATGATGATGATAATGATGGTGATGATTATGATACTGATGATGATGCTGATGCTGATGCTGATGCTGATGATGATGATACCGACGATGGTGACGATACTGATGATGTTGACGATGCTGACGATGATGATGCTGCTGATGATGATGCTGCTGATGATGCTGATGATGATGATGTTGTTGATGATGATGATGATGATGATGATGATGATGCTGATGATGATGCTGATGGCAATCGCGAGGATGATGCTGATGCTGATGATGGTAGTGACTCTTCTGATGCTGATGCTGATGCTGACGATGATGAGGAAGAGGAGAAGGAGGATAAGAAGGAACGAACGACTCTGCAGAGGGGCGCCAGCTGGATCCTCGGCCCTCTCGAAGACGAGACAGTCATCCAAACACATGTTCGCATGCTGACTTCACTCTTTGAGGGCGCCATGGCTCTGAGGGTCAGGGCCACGCGTGGCTTCTGAGCAATGTGCTCCCACGCATCTCCATTATCAAGGCTGGACGGCCAACGTTTGAATCCACGAGCGGCCGCAGGGTTGGGGCGTGCGCAATCCAATAACTAGTCAACGCGCGAGCCCCCAGCGAGTGGGCCACCCCGAAAGAAGGGGAGGACCGCCGAACACGACACGACGACGAGGGGAAGGACCGACACGGGACGCAACGAAGGGGGCCCATACGTGAGGGGCGGGGACAGCCCAAAGGGGGGGGGGCACACATCCCCAGCTTGAAAGACCGAGAACTAAAACACATCTTGGCGAGCGGCGCCCGAGGGCCAAGAAGGACAAGGAGATGGAGAATTGGTGCTGGTGTGGGCCACTGGTGTTCAAAGAGTTCGCCAGATCAACCGAGGCGAGCTCGACAGGCGAAGGCGACGAGCACCTCCAGGAGAAGGTGGAGGGGGGAGTGAGGAGGAAGCGAGGGAGGAGGAGGGAGAATACCTCCGTCGGCTGCTCTGGCCCAGGGCCTCCTTAGCGCGCTTCGTCGTCTGACGCAGATCAGGCCTCCAGGTCTTGCAACTTGACGTCCAGGGCGAAGGCGTCGAAGGGGGTGGGTCTCAGAGGCGCTCCCCCTTCCAGAAGCCCAGTTCCCGTGCGGAGCTGGCGGCCCGCCCAGAGCTGACGCAGGCGACCCCACCCACGGACCCACGCAAGCAGCCTGCGCAGAAGGCACGAGCACATGTCTGGTGAACGAATGCACGGTGCGCCCCACGGCAATTGCACAGCACGAGCGGCCCGACCCTCAACAAATGGTGAATTTGTCCAGGCCTGCGCGAGGATACGCTCAAAGCCTGGAGTTTGGCACCCGACCTGGCACGCAGAACAGAGCGGCACCCTCCTTGGAGAAGGGGGCGACGGAGACGGAGGAGGAGGAAACGAAGAATGAGGCAGAGGAGGGAGGAGGAGGTAGGAGTGAGGGAGGACGGAGTGAGGAGGGAGCAGGAGGAGGGAGGAGAGAGGGAGGGAGGAGGGAGACGGAGGAGAGAGGACGCAGGGAGGAGAAGGAAGGAGGAGGAGGAGGAGAAGGAGGAGGAGGAGGAGGAGGAGGAGGAGGAGGACAAGGACGACGCAGGATGAGGGCGGGGGATGGTGCTCGGAGGGCCGCCGCCCCCCCTCCCAATTGCGGTGGCGTCTGGGCCTGGCATCGCGGCGTGGAAGCGGGTGGAGCAGATTAGCTGAGCGACCTTGGCGCGGGGAGAGGCGGTGCCCACTCCTCCTCCTCCTCCTCCTCCTCCCCCTCCTCCTCCTCCTCCTCTCATCCTCCCCCCCCTCCTCCTCCTCCTCTCCTTCTCCTCCTCCTCCTTCTCCTCCCCCTCCCCCTCCTCCTCCTCCTCCTCCTCCTCCTCCTCCTCCTCCTCCTCCTCCCTCCCTTGTTTCGGACGTCTCGAGCCTCCAGCGAGGTAATGGAACCGAGGCTGCGCGAGGGAGCTCCCCTCTTCGGGCCAGGGTGCTTCCTAAGGTCCTACAGTGCAGCGTCGACCGGACCTCGTCGACGATTGGAACCAGAGGCGGAGCTGAGCGATGCGGTGTGCAGCGGTGCTTTCAAAGAACCTGGCACAGTCAACCCGTATCATAAAGATGTGCGGTAAGGATGCAAGGGCCTCGGAAGGCCAAACTGATTTTGTTCGAACGAGGTTGGCCAGTGAAAGCCGCTAAGGATGGGCCGCAGGGCAAGGACACAGGGGTATCATTGCGAAGTTTGCCCGTCCATCCTATGCGGTCTGACTGTACTCCTCATCATCCTTGGGGATTTTAAAAGACCTGATGTTCACACGAACACGACCTGGGAGGACAAGCGGGCGTGGCTTGCGAGGAAGAGAACAACAAAGAAGAAAATGCCTGTAGGGCACATAATCCTGATTTCCGTGTTGTCCGTTTGACGCTGTGCCGCTGGAAAGTGCATTAGGCTGGTTCCCGTGTTGTCCGTTTGACGCTGTGCCACTTTGTCGGGGCGTCTCCGACCATCTTGGAGCCCTGGTGGGCAGTCTTCTGGCACTGGAGCGTCTCCGCCCACCTCGGGGCTCTCTTAGGCAGTCTTGGGGCCCTCTCGGGGGCCTCTGGGGGCTTCCTGGGGTCCTTTTGTGGGGCCTCTTGGGGGCCTCTTGGGGCCTCCTGGGTCCCCCTCTCCCACTGGTGCGTCCCTCCTCCCACCCCGCCCGCTGCTTGGCATGCAGCACGCGGGTCCTGAAGAAGCGGGTCCTGGAACAGGGAGGGGCCCCTGGAAGCCGAGAGCGGTGGAGAGCCCCAGGACCCGGCTCCCTCCGTGGAAGACCAGCAGCACGGCATAAACACACGTATTTGGATGTCCGCGCGGTTCCGTTAGATCTGCGCTGAGCCCGCCCTCCCCGGCGCGCGGAGTGCGCCAGGGGCGGCGCTGGAGGCGCCACCAGGGGGACCGAGCGCAGAACCGAGACACGCGCGCGGAACTCCGAAAGCTTCTGCTCATGCCGTTCTTGTCCCGCGGCTCGGGGCCCGCTTGCTTCCTGGCGAGCCGCTGCGGCCAGGGTGGGGCGTCCGCTCCCCTTGACCCCCCGCGGGGCCGAGGGCCCTGGCGGTCGCGCCTTGGGGGCCCCGGGCGCGTTGTCGGCGGCGGGCCCCGATGGCCCGCCGCCGTCTCAGAAGGACGACGACGACGAAGGCGACGACGACGGCGACGACGAAAACGGCGTGGCGGAGGCAGAGCCGCCGACTCCTAGATTTAGGTCGGGCATGTCTTCCTACAGGCGGATTGTGGAAGAAAACTCAAACATATTCAACAATAGTCAGATCTAGAAGAAATTGCACGAACAATCGTCAACATACTAATTCTGGAATATTCTTGCATATTCCTCCTGTAGGGGGACATGCCCTACTTAATCCTAGATCCCTCGAAGGCGAGGTCGCTCCCAGAGCGTCCCAGCCCTGCCCCTGACCCCCCCCCCGGCCCTGCTGATCGCTCGGGTAGTGGGGCTCCCCAAACATGCGCCTTGATCTTTTCAATGCGGGGTCCCAGGAAATCTTGAACCTTTCCTCAGGTCTGGAGCCTTGATTTTTTCAATGCGGGGTACAGGGAAATCTTGGCCCTCTCCCCAGGGCCGCTGTTTTTTCATCCCGAATCCTCCTCGGCCAGTCCTACGGCCCGGGTGCGGGCCCTCGGGGGCCGAGAGTGGGCAAAAGCTTTCCGTCGTGCTTGTTTGCGTGAACAGCGAGAGGATGTCAAGATCTGAGCACTCCCTCTGGAGGTGAAACAGTCCACCCCCATAATTACCACCCCGACACGCGAAGCTGTTTAGTAAACGCGCCCAAAGAAGGAATCGAACAGGGCAGGGCTGTTTAGTAAACGCCCAGGGCCGTTGAATAAACGCCAACTGTCCTGTCCGGGTGGTTTTTCTCCCCTTGACCCTCGGCGCGCGCGGTGTCCGAGACCGCGGCCAGCAGCATGGCCGCCGACGCCGCGAGGCATCGCGACTGCCTGCGCATGCCAGCGTCGCGTGCTGGCCCCGATGTCCTCGCCGCCGCAGCGGAGGCGCGGCGCCCTCTGCCGCCGCAGAGGCACGACGGCCGCCCTCGCCGCCGCGGCCGCGCCGGCGCGGAATCCGCCGCGTCGTCGTCGTCGTCGTCGTCGTCGTCGTCGTCGTCGTCGTCGTCGTCGTCACCGCTGTCGTCGTCGGCGTCTTCGTCGTCGTCGTCGCCGTGATGGTCGTCTTCGTCGCCGCCGCCGCCGCCGCCGCCGCCGCCGCCGCCGCCGCTGTCGTCGTCGTCGTCGTCGTCGTCGTCGTCGTCGTCGTCGTCGTCGTCGTAGTCGTCGTCTTTGCCGACGTCATCGCCTTCGCTGTCGTGCCCCTGCCAACACTGTCGGCGGCCAGGGCGCTTCCGCCCGGCCGCCGCACGCTCCGGGCCGCTTGGGGGCCCGGAGCGCCTCGCGGGGCAAACTGCGACGGGCGTCGAGCTCTGAGCGCCGAGGTCGTCGCTTGTTTTCTTTGGCCTCTCTGGGCTTCCCTTGTTTTCGGGCCCCTTTGGCCTCTGGGGGCTGTTCCTGCGGCGCGGCCGTGGTCCCCTCGGAGCCTCTGGCCACAGCGCACGCCAGGAGAGTGGTCCTGGGGCAGTTTTGTGGACTCCGGGCCCAGGCCTCCGACTGAGCCTCGAGGTCTTCTTCCGTTTTCGGGCCCCTTTGGCCTCTTCTTTCGAAGAAGGAAAAAACGGCATCACCATAAACTTTTGGCGCTCCGCGCGGATCCAAGAAATCTGCGCAAAACGCAACAAGTTTACCCATCGGTCGGAAGAAATAGGTCGAAACATGAAGTAGGAAAGCGTTGGAATCAGATTGGGTCTCGGCCGGCCCTTGAAGAGGAGGGGAAGCGGACAATTCGCACTATGACTTTGAAGGAGCTATTTGCTAAAAGTAACAAGCGTTTTTAATAAAGTATTGTTGCTCTGTTGCGCGCCAACCGCGGCGTCGCGTCCGAATTGCCGAACCAAGTCCTGCGCTCGCGCCCTGAGTCTCCTGTCAAGGAACATCTACAACTCGTTGAAAACATGTCCAAAGATCGCCGCGACCCGATGTGACGCGACCCTGATTACTCGAGCAAATGCATCGCGGGGTGAATTGGCAAGGAAATTATGGGCCCCCTGTCCCCCGACGGCGCCCTGGCCCCGCATCACCAGGGCTTGACTAAGGCAGACCACGGACCTTACTAAAGCGAAGAAGCGGCTTAAAAAAGTCAGGAAGCGGATTTACTAAAGCGAGGAAGCGGCTTTTCTAAAGCGAGGAAAAAGCTTTCGTAACGGCGCGCCGCTCAATACATTCCGAAAGAAACGACGTTTTACTACAAAGCAAAGTGGCAAAGGAGATCTTTAACGCGGAGAGACGGGGGGCAAAACTGCGCACAGGAATTTCGCTCCTCCAATCAAATCTGGCGCGGGACTCCAGGAACGAGGGCACGGCGCAAGTTCGCCCCTGGGCCCAGGCCCTGTCGCCGCCGCCGCCGCGATGTTCGTCGTCGCCGTCACCGTTGCCGCCGTCGTCGTCGCCGTCGGCGCAAACGCCGCCGTCGTCGCCGCGACGCCCGCGCATTCACGTTATTACCAGCGGCGGGTCGCGCGCGACCGCGCGCGCCATTGCGCTCGCATTTCCGCTCCTCCGACGGGGGCCCAGGCGGACATCGTGGTGGGCAAGTTAGGGGAAGCAAATAGGGAGCAATTAGGGCACAAATTAGGCAGACATCGTGGTGGGCACACTTTGTCATAAAGTAGTGGTGGGCAAATTAGGGGAAGCCACTCGATCATTGAAGTAGGGAGGCGCCGAAAATTGATTGGAGCCTGGGACTCCCAAACTGCCTGTTTTCAACGGGCGATGGGCTTGCCGTTTTCTTTTTCTTCTTCGACTCCGGGAGCGGCTCCGGCGGCGCGGCCGTGCTCCCCTCGGAGCCTCTGGCCAGGGCGCGCGCCGGGAGGAGGGGTCCGGGGGGCCGGTGCCGCTGACTCCTGGGCCCCGGCCTCCGACCGTCGTGTCGTGTCTATTTGCTGCTGGTCTGTCTTCTCTCTCGCTCTCTCGTTTCGGCTCGCTCTGCCCGGCTCTTGGTCTGTCTTGTGTGTGTGGTCTGTTCTGTTGTTTCTTTGTGTTTGTTCTCTCGGTCTCTCTCTCTCTCTCTTCGGCTTGTGGTGTCCGTTGTTTGTGTGGCTTGTTCGTGTTTGGAGTTTCCTGTTTGCTTGTTTTGTCTGTTTGTTTTCTCTCGCTCTCTCTTCGGCTCGTTCCGTCCGATGTTTGGTTGGTTTGCTTGTTTTCTGTTTTGTTGATTGTTTTGTCTGTTTGTTTTCTCTCACTCTTTCTCTCTTTCTCTCTCGCGGGCATTTTTGTTCGGCATCCAGGAGACTCCTTCAATGGGCTCCTGGGATGGTGGCACAAAGGGTCGGCGACGAAAGACCTGCCCAGGGGAACGGGTCGCATCGGACACGTCATGGCGTACAGGAAATCTGTTTCGGGCCCTGGGGCTCTCACGGAGCAGTCCGTCTGGAAAGTCATGACTTCCGCGCCAAGGAGACATTTTATCAAGAGCTCCTTTTGTTCCCCTCTTCCCCCTTCGACGTGTCGTTTGATTTCCGCAGTGCATCTGATCTCATGGGCGGCCGAAGCCATGCTCTCTTGCGCCGCGTCGCCGTCGCCAGCGCGGCATCAGCTGGCGGAGCAAGACGAGGACCCAGATCTCCGGCGTGCCGATATTCGGAGCCGCCAGCTCCCTGGAGATCTCGACGCCCCCCCGGGAACGGCTCTTCATCCTGGGGCCTCGGGCTCGACATCTCGCGCGATGCTCTTCTCCGTCGCCGGAAGTCTGGGCCCCTTCGCCACCAACATCGGCCCCTGGACCTCTCCTGACGTGTGCTGCAGCCAGCGTGTCGGGGGGGGGGTCCAGCCGAAGGACGACGAGACGCCACCAAGCAAGCTCCAGAAGGGCGAGCCCCACACTTCCAAAAGCATGTGATGCTCGCACCTCTGGGGTGGAGAGACGAGGACTCGTTCTGCCGCCCCGAGTGACCTCGCTCGGTCGTCAAAGGGCCACTCCAGCGGTGGCAGAGAGGGACGAGGGGAGGGGGGTGCAGCGTGCCACGTAAGCGAACTGGCCTGAGTCTGGAAACGAGCGCGCAGGCTGTGCTTTGGGTGAGACGGTGCATCTGCTGCAGTTGTGGTGGCCGAAGGCCCAAACGGACGGCGACACGCTCAAACCACTAAAGCAGAAGGTCGTGGAGGAGGTGGAGCAGGAGAAAGGGATGTTTGCAAGTTTTGATTGGGCTCCTCTCCTCCTCCTTCTCCTCCTCCACCTCTGTCCCAGCCCTTGTCCGCACATCTTCCCAATCATCCACGTTTACCTCCATGCTACCTCCCTCCTCCCTCCTTCACCGTCCTCCTCCAACTTCTCCTCTCCCTCTTCCTACTCCTCAGCGTCCCTCCTGCCACTTCTCTCCTGCCGACGCCCTCGTTCTCCGATCCGTCTTGCCCTCCTGCTCGACTTGACCGGATTCATGCTGCACGGATCATAGCCGAAGTGTCAAGCCCTCCTCATGCTGCTGCTGCTGCTGCTCCTCCTCCTCCTCCTGCACCTCCCCCTCCGCGTTCTTGTTTTCGTCGCCGCCCCCCTCCTTGTGCAACGGCGACGGCTAGGGCAACAACCACGAGCACGGCGACCACAACGGCGACGGCGGTGATGACTACGACGCCTACGACGGCGATGACAACGAGGGCGACGATCGCGGCGACGACAGTGGCGACGACCCCGACGACGACGACGACCACGACGACGACGACCACCACCACCACGCCGACGACCACCACGGCGACGTCGGCGACGATCACGACGATCACGGCGACGACCACGACCCCGACGACGCCGACCGACGGCGACGACGACCGCGGCAACGACGGCGGCGTCGACCACGACGGCATCGACCACGACGACGACCCTCGCGAGTCCACTGTGCCCGCAGCCCGCTGGCAACGGCCACGGCCATGGCCGGCGCAGCGCCGGAGCGCCCCTGCCCCGCAGGCCGGGGGCGCGGGATGGCTGCGGCGCTGCGGGCGCGGCGGCGAGCCGAGAGGCGGCGAGGGCGGGGATCGAGTACGGCAGGTGCGTGCCGTGACGTCGGCGTTGGTTTAGGTCGGGCATGTCCCCCTCCAGGAGGGGTTTGGACGAAATGTGAAAAATACAATCAAAATGCTCCCAACTTGTCAAACAACACTTAAAAAGCAATCCCCAGACCATTTTTTGAGTATTTCTGAGCATTCCTCGTGTAGAGGAAAAAGGCCGACTTAAGCGTTGGTTTCTGACACCGCGTGGATCGCTCAACCTTGAGCGATCGAGGCTTCCCGATAGCGCGCATCGCTCGATGTCGGCCGATTCAGAGCCACTGGCAGCACGGAGCCTTGGACGCCCGCTCGGGGTCGCCGCCGCGTCGACACGATACGAACCTACCGTATCGAGGCCTGCGGACTGCACTGGTTGTTCTCCGCTCCTCTCTGACATCAAGAGCCCCCCCCCCCGCGTCCTCCTCGCCGCCCCTCGTCATCATCGCTGGCGCTCCTGCGCCGGCACCGCCGCCGCAGTCGCCGTTGTCGTCGTCGTCGTCGTCGTCGGCTTCGTCGTCGGCACCGTCGTCGTCGTCGTCGTCGTCGTCGTCAGCGTCGTCGTCGTCGTCGTCGTCGTCGTCGTCGTCGTGGTGATCGTCGGCGTCGTGATCGTGATCGTCGACGTCGTCGTCGTCGTCGTCGTCGTCGTCGTCAATGTCACCGTTGTCATCGTCGTCGTCGTCGTCGTCAGCGTCGTCGTCGTCGTCGTCGGCGGCGGCGGCGGGTCGTCGTCGTCGTCGTCGTCGTCGTCGTCGTCGTCGTCGTAGCCGCCGCCGTTGCCTCGCGGGGCGCGCGCCGCGCGTGGCGCCCGGCGCCTCGCCGGCGCCGCCGCAGGCCGCCGTCACGAAGAGGACGGCCACCGCCTGCTGCGCGCACGCCTCGCCGACCTCCTCGGGGCCAAAGGCCACCTGCCGCCGGCGCCACCGCCGTCGTCGTCGTCGTCGTCGTCGTCGTCGTCGTCCTCGTCGTCGTCGTCGTCGTCAGCGTCGTCGTCGTGATCGTCGTCGTCGTCGTCGTCGTCGTCGTCGTCGTCGTCGGCGTCGTCGTCGTCCTCGTCGTCGTCGCCGTCCTCGTCGTCGTCGTCGGCGGTGAGGGCGTGGGCATGGGCGGGGGCGTGGGCGAGGGCGTGAGCGTGGGGGTGGGCGTTGGTGTGGGCGTGGGCGTGGGCGTCGCCGTCGTCGTGATCGTCACTGTTGGTCGTCGGTGCCGTGCGGGGGGGGAGGAGGCGGAGCAGGAGGAGGAGAGGAAGGAAGAGGAGGAGGCGGAGGAGAAGGAGGAGAAGGGTGGGCATGATGATGCTGATGATGATGATGATGGTGATGGTGATCGTGATGGTGATGATGCTGCTGCTGATGATGATGATGATTCTTCTCAAGATGATGTTGCTGCTGATGATGATGCAGATGCTGCTGCTGATGATGACGATGATGATGCTGATGCTGATGCTGATGCTGATGCTGATGATGATGATGATGATGATGAGATGGAGGATCAGGGACATTGTGATGAATCTGATGGTGGTGATGATTACATTCCGCTTGTGTGGAGCGGTGGTGATGATGATGGTGGTGATGCTGGGGAGGAGGAGGTGGAGGAGGAGGAAGAGGGGAGCAGAATGAGGAACATGAGCCTCCTCCGGCCACGCCGATTTTCACGCGGGAACCCGTCCAGGCAGGCGTACCTCACTGGTGACGAGCCTGGACTCCCATCCCCTCCGTCGGCTACACGCCAGAGTGACCCTGGGCAAGAATGACCTTTGTTGCGCGGCTTTTTGGGGGCCGCGGGGGGACCAAACACAAGCGCGCAAGACGCTACTATTAGAGGCCTCCAAGATGGGGTCCGAGTAGATGGGGTCGGAGGATCCCGCTGCACCGCCGATACATTGCCGATGCATCGCCGGTGCATCAGCGACGTCGGCGATGCATCGGCGCCGTCAACGTGGACAACATCGGGCTCCGCATCGAGCCGCATCGCCGATGCATCGACGATACCGAGCGATCCTCCGACCCCATCTGCTCTGACCCCATCCGGGAGGCCTAGAACTACCGCATCGCGTTCGGAGATCGGGGACCCCATTGGGCCCGCATGAAAGGTCACTGCGGCGAAAGGTTACTCTCACACGTCGGTCGGAAGAAGTAGATAGCAACATGAAGTAGGAAGACGGATGTAATTAGTGGATTGAGGCCAGGTCCTCCCAGAGAATAACAAGACACAGCGAAAGCATGCCGATGCTTGAGGTAGGAAGGCGTTTGACGTAGATTGGGATCTGGGAGTCCAAAAATACCCGCTTCCAACGACCGGCGTGTACGTGTAGTCGACTCCGGCGCTGCATGCTGCTCACGGCGTGGGGGCCCCTCTCGGGAGGGCCAGGCGCCTCGACCCTTTTCCCCCTCGGGCGGGCCTTTCTCGCGCGGGCAGCTGCTGCATAGGTCTGGGGCTCGCGGGCGGGCCCCGGACGAATACAAAGATTGCGCTCGATTCTCGATCGCCGACCGATCCTCGATCCTCGATCCTCGATCATCGATCCTCGAACCTCGAACCTCGATCCTCGAACCTCGATTCTCGAACCTTGATCCTGGATCCTCGTCGGTTCTGGAATCCGCACCGCCGTTCGAGAGCCTGGCTCCTCTGGCCACGAAAATGCGGGCTGTGGTGTATGGGCGGCCGGCGGGGCCGCCAATGCCGCCAAGGGTGTGCCTTTTTTTTTTTTTTTCCCCTTCGCCTTCCTGCTGCTGCTGTTCCTCCTCCTTTCTTTGGTATGTTGCTGGGCGCGCTCACACCTGGGGGGGGATCAAGAGGGCGCGGGCACCTTCCTCCCTCTCCACTCCTCCTGCTCCTCCTCCTTCCTCGTTCATTGCCAGCTCGAGCACCCAGAGGTTGGGCGCAAGCGGACGGACGTCAGAAGCTGCGAGGCTGATTTTCTGCAGACCCCGGCAAGCTTACAGCATACTTGCATGGAATGGGGAGGGGGTGCGCGGCGAGGCCCGAACGGAAATCGGGACTTCACGCAAATCGGGACTCACTTGCGCGCATCTTCGGCCCACCACTGTTTGAAAAGGCGGCGATGGGGGGGGGGACCGGGGAGGGGGGGAGGGGGAGGGCAAAATGCCATGCAACTAAGGTGGCCTGAGTCTAAAGAAAAACGCCCTCTTACCCGCCGCCCTTTCTGGGGGCCGGGTAGCACTGCCTCCCACGGGGTCACCGACGACAGCTTCCCCCCTTCTTCCCCAGGCCACCCACGGTCGGGAACTGTTGCTTGGCATGTCGCCGCAGCGGCCCCGGCGACGCGCTATGCCTTGCGAGTGGATGGCGTGTCGCTTCGCTCCGCGGGGCGGGAGGCTCGGCAAGGCTCGGGACGTGGCCGCCTCGTGCAGAGGAGGAGCAACTGAAGCAGGAGAAGAAGAGCGAGAAGGAAGAGGATGAGGATGAGGATGAGGATGAGGATGAGGATGAGGATGAGGATGAGGATGATGATGATGATGATGATGATGATGATGATGATGATGATGATGATGATGATGACGAGGAGGAGGAGGAGGAGGAGGAGGAGGAGGAGGATGATGAGGAGGATGAGGAGGAGGAGGAGGAGGAGGAGGAGGAGGAGAGGAGAAGGAGGAGGAGGAGGAGGAGGAGGAGGAGGAGGAGGAGGAAGTGGACCGCCTGTCGCGCCGAGGCGTGTGGGCCCGAGCTGGCGGAGCGACACGCCGTCCACGGGTTCCCGACCGCAGCTCCGCGCCCTTGCGCTGCCCGCCTGGAGAAGGGCACCGCTGGGGAAACCACAAAGGGCACCGGTGCCGCTGCTCCCCAGACCTCTCCCGGGGAGCGTGCTGTCCAGGATCTCGAGGCGGACGCAGCCGCAGCGACGAGGGCCCCCCCCCCCAGGAGGCCCCCGAAAAGGGGAAAGCGGGTGGAAGGGTAGGAATATGGGTACCTCCTCCTCCTGCTCCTCCTCCTCTTTCTCCTCCTCTTCCTTCGAACATCAGCGGCAGAGGCCGCGACCCGCTGGCCGCGGCACCCTCTGCGGCGCCGCTGGCGATCCTGTCTCCCTCGACCCGCGCGCCGCGGGGCCATGGCCGACGGCCCTCGCGCCCGCCGTGCCGCCGCCCCCACCCCGCTCAGCCGAAGCCGGGACGAGGAGAAGATCGGGCGAGGGCAGATCGAGAATCTCTGAGATCCAGCGGCTCTGGAGGATGCCTCGGGCGTCGCGGCCTTCTCAGAGCGCTGCTGGACACTCTGAGAGCGTTCCGGAACGCTCTTCGTCCTGGCCCCCTCCGACCCCTCGTTCACAGCCCGCCGCTCTCCGCCCCCGCCGCTGCCGGCGCCGCGCGGCCACTTCTCCGAGATACGGCGCCACGAAAACATGCAGCATCGCAGAGCAACTCGGCCTGAGATACAGTGGAGGCCCGACCACAAGAAACCTTCCGCAAGAGACCCAACCCTGAGACCCCAGGGTGTCCATTGGTTCCTGGCGTGGGAAATGTCACGCCTTTGACAGCTACGCCATCGAAACCCGAGAAGCCCAGGGCACCCTGGAGGCAAGCAGGGTGTTTCTTGGCAGGGCGCTTCTTGGCATGGGCCCCCACTGCATGCGACGTCGCGCAAGAGCGCAGCAGATGCAGAAACGCTCGACGCTGGAACCCTGGAGTGCACTCTGCCTTCGGCACCTCTGCAGCCGGATCGATCCGCGCAGGCCCCATGGGCCTCAGACGTGGCAAAACGCCTCGAGCTGCGACAGGGCTGCGACGCCAGGACGTCAGGTGAGAGCGTCGGTCGCGTCCATGGCGCGCCGCGCGGATTTCTTGGATCCGCCCTGGGCCCCCTCCGCGGCGCCTCCGGCGCCGCCCCTGGCGCGCTCCGGCGCCGCTGGGGGGGGGCCCAGCGCAGACCCAAGGACTCCGCGCGGAGCGCCAACAGTTTCTGTTTATGGCGTTTGTTCCTCCTCGAGTCC